CTCTAGTTTTCTTGTTCAGCCGGAGAATGTGGTTTTTTTCGAAAAACTTGGCATGGTAAAGCTGACTGACTTCGGTTTTTCAAATTTGTTTGAACCTGGTCAGCAGCTACGCACTGCATGTGGATCGTTGGCTTACTCTGCTCCAGAAATACTTCTTGGTGATGCTTATGACGCACCAGCTGTGGGTGAGTCCTTTTGAGATTTTAGGTTTAACAAGCTTGCTTCAGTGTTCATGTATGTATTTAGATGTCTGGTCTTTGGGAGTAATTTTGTTTATGCTAGTATGTGGGAGGTTGCCATTCCAAGAGGCTAATGATTCTGAGACTTTAACTAAGATCCTGGACTGTCGATACACAATTCCTGAACATCTATCTAACGCGTGTAAAAAGTGAGGCTTTAAGGTTTTTTCTTCATTGACATATACTTTAGCATTATATTATCTTCTCTTTCTATCCATTTTAAGAGTTACTAGTTTGTTTATCATATTATCTAATCAGTTTGATCCATCGTATGTTGGTACGCGATCCAACAAAACGGGCTGGGCTCGCTGAAATTGTTTCGAATCCATGGGTGATGGCAGGAGACCGCGGCCACGCTTCTGTTAGTTGTTTAACTTTGGCTTTGATGCTTTTACGCTGAACTCTCATATAAGTCAATTTTACAGATGTTGCCACTAATAGTGAAGCATCATTTGCCTCACTCTGCGCACACTACCATCATTGAGCAGATGGTAGCAGGTGGCGTTGGAACGGAGGACGCTATTTTAAAGTATGTGTACATGGGCAAACTTCTTTTTCGCGTGTAATTTTATACTTGTTATTTTTGTTTTAAGAGCTCTTGAGAATGATGACTACAACTCCATGACAGCAACATACTATCTCTTAGCTGAGCGAATCTTGGCCAGCTGTAGAGAAGAACAGGCAAAAGAGCTAATGTCGAAAGAAGCAGATCTAGTTCCTGATGAGGAGCTGGTAGAAAGGTATGCGTATAGCCACGGTTGATCAATTTAGATTTGCTTACTCTGAGTTAACCGAAATTAGATCAACTTTTGTCTAAACCAAGACCTTGAGTTTGCGAGCTGAAGGCTCATTTTCAAAATTGCAATTATTTTGGGTTACACATTGGAACTGTATCACTATACTTTTTGAAACAGGATGCTTACTTTTACCTTCAGATTAAGTTCTTACCAAATTCATAG